CACCAACTATCCTCCTGGTCACTGGTACTGAGTGGGTGGTAACACGGTCCCAGTTAAGTCATCCCCAAGACAACAGAAAAAGATGGGCGCTAGTGGATGGAGTCGTCTCCTTTACCCCACTCCCCAGGATGTCACGTCAACAACTCCCTGGCAGTTTCTCTCGGTGCCCACTCCAGGTCCAGGTCAGGTGTCCCTTTCCCCCTGGACTTGTCTGTTTCATCTGTCCCTGATACCTAAGTTGGAAAGCTTTCTTCCACCCCTAGGGAGCCTGCCTAAGCTCTTGCCTGGGCACCTATGGTTTTACCCATGACTCTCTTATGCATCCCACCTGCCCAAGTCTCCAGCCTCTGCTCAGTACCTGGTACTACCCATCTCAGCCTGAGGCTGAGGCTGAGGCTGAGTCTAGCTCTAGGAGACTGGAGAAGAGCTGCTCACAGGGCAGCATGGTCCACCACTCTCTGTGGACCTTCTTTTCACAGATGTCCAGGCTCCAGCATACCTGCAGCCCCTCTGTCTCTCTGTCTCTCTCTCCCCCCTGATATGGAATCCTCCAATCCTCCAGATCTGCTCCCACCTGCCCTTAACCAGGGTCAGCTCTGCCTCTGAGGCCTTTACTGTCCCTGAACAAAACTCTTGGATGTTTTCCCAACATGGTCACTGAATGGTTCCATCACCCTGGGGGACACTGGGGCTATCTTGTCTGGATGTCAGGATAGCACTCTCTAAAAGCAATCTAGAAACTTGGCCCTGAAGGCAGGGAAGGTCCTGGGCAGGGCTGGCACTGGGTCTGGGTGGGGACAGGGCAGAAGTTGAGGCCTTGAGTTCTCAGCATAGGCAGAGAACTCAAGGCCAGTTGCAGCTCTAAGAAGGGCTGACTGCCCTCTGGTGGCAAGACAGGGCAGAAGTAGGGACCCCACAAGCAGGTATGGCCACCCCTCTTTGGAGGGCCGGGGTGAGTCTGTGCTCTGAGAGTTTGCATGTTAATAGAAAGGGGAGTGAACCCTGCCCACCTCCACCAACACAGTTCCCTTGGTCCTCTCCCGCACGTCTGATTTTCCCCATTAGGAGAAAAAAAGGAACGGGAAAGAGAAGGATGAGGAAAAGTGGCTGAGTGAGTGTCAAGGAAGAGTGAACTGACCACCATCGGGGTCCATTTGGGCAAAAATTGATAAAGATGTCCCATGAAGGAATGACACCCATCTGTGCTTGTCTCCAGGTAGCATTGTCTCTAAGGGACTCAGGAGGAGTTTTTCAGAAGGGGAATCGTGACTGGGAGGGACAAGGTGGACTTGCCTTGTCCCATCTGTCCCTGCCTATTCTGCCTGTCTGTCCTTCTATGTCTCTGTCTGTCTGTCTGCCACCTCCGCCCCATGTGTGTGTTTGTGTGTCTTTCTGTCTGTCAGTCAGTCTGTCTGCCCCCTGTGTATATGTGTCTCTGTCAGTCTGTCTGTCTGCCTCTGTGTGTGTGTGTCTGTCAGTCTGTCTGTCTGCCTCTGTGTGTGTATGTGTGTTTGAGCGCGTGTGCGTGTATGCATGTGCTTTCATTACCTACTCTAAATGACTAGCTGAAATTTGGAGATTCTCTCCATCTTTTCACAGAGATCTTTGCTGCAATTTGAGCCCAACCTGGACCAGGCTCTAGTGTTGGGAGGGGCCTCTGCCACTGATGGAAGCTTATAAGCTCTGAGGCTGCCCTGGACGGCAGAGGCATTCTTTAGCCTCTGTGTTCCTGGGCCGCATAAGGACCCTTCCTCTCAGTCTAGGCCATGGGAAGTGCTGGCCTCCACCTGCTCCTGCCCATTTCCACCTGCTTGTCCTGACCACCTGATGACCCCAACTCCTGCGTCACACAGTTGGGAACAGCCTCCAAGACTACTCAGCCAGTCCTTGAGCAATTGTTTCATTTCTTATGACCCTTAAAATGCCTCCACTACAACCTGGTCACCAAGCCCACTCCAGCTGATAAAAAGACTGTTTCAAATAGCCTATGCATACAGGACTTTTTTTTTTTTTTTTTTTTTTTTTTTTTTTGGTTCTACGAGACAGGGTTTCTCTGTATTGTTTTGGAGGCTGTCAGTCCAGCCCGGCCTCGAACTCACAGAGATCCACCTGCCTCTGCCTCCCGAGTGCTGGGATTAAAGGCATGTGCCACCACCGCCCGGCACATACAGGACTTTTTGGCATCCCAAGTTTCCTTGAACTCCAGATAACCCTGCAGCGTTTTCTACTCAGATAGGGGATGTGGCCTTTCCCCACTAGAGAGGCCTGTGTAAACAGTTTTTCATTTACAGGAAGGTATGGAGTGATGCTGCATTGTCTGTCTGTTTACACAGGTGGTTCTACTGATCTCGTGAGGGAACTGGAAGGCAGCTTTCCCGGTGTTGCAACAAAAGGTTTCTTTTGAGTGGTATTCTGCTAAGCTTGATCTTCACTATTGGGTGACACAAGAGAGGAGAGTGTTGGGTGTCTGTGTGTATGAGGGTGAGGGCGTGCAGTAGTAGTGAGTGTGTGTGTGTGTGTGAGAGAGAGAGAGAGAGAGAGACAGAGAGAGACAGAGAGAGAGACAGAGAGAGAGAGAGCTTTGCAGAGCTCCAAAAAGATGCTGGGGCAGAAACTATGGAGTGCAGAAGTCAAGAAAAGTTTGGGGAGCTGGAGAGACGGCTCAGAGGTTAAGAGCACTGACTGCTCTTCCAGAGGTCCTGAGTTCAATTCCCAGCAACCACATGGTGGCTCACAACCATCTACAATTCAATGTGGTGCCCTCTTCTGGCGTGTAGGCAGAACACTGTATATGTGATAAATAAATCTTTAAAAGAAAAAAAAAAAAGAAAAGAAAAGTTTGGGTCCCGGTCACTGGCCCAGCCTTGTCATCCAGCAGGGGGAGCCTCTTCCATGTGTTGGAGGTGCACAGAGTCTGGGTGTGAAAATGGGAGGGACAATGGGAAACCCTGCAGTTGTAGTCAGGGGAGTGGCCTGGGCCTTACCAGTACACAGGGGCCAGCAGAAGAGGCCGATGGCTGAGGATGGGCAGTCAGAGGGGGCGGCTAATAAAACTTTGTCAGAGGTGCTAACACAAAGGCATCCTAGCTGCCTGTGTGTCTGACCGTCCTTTTTTCAAAACAGTCCTGGTCTAACAGCTGTCATTTTTTTATATTTATTTATTTATTATGTACACAGTGTTCTGTCTGCATGTCTGCCTGCAGGCCAGAAGAGGACACCAGATCTCATTACAGATGGTTGTGAGCCACCATGTGGTTGCTGGGAATTGAACTCAGGACCCCCTGGAAAAGCAGTCAGTGCTCTTTAACCTCTGAGCCATCTCTCCAGCCTGGCATCTTAGCTTTTCTTGTTGTTGCTGTAAACATTGAAAATTGTGTTTACAGTAAAGACTTGTCATTAATATTAAAGGTGCTTCAACAGAGGAGTCTTACTTCTGCAAGGGGAGATGAAGTTTTTTTTTTTTTTTTTTGGTTTTTCGAGACAGGGTTTCTCTGTGGCTTTGGAGGCTGTCCTGGAACTCACTTTGTAGATCCGCCTGCCTCTGCCTCCCGAGTGCTGGGATTAAAGGCGTGTGCCACCAACGCCCAGCTGAGATGAAGTTTTCTAATCTGCTTTTCTGAGATTACATGCGTGAGGCACTTCAAAGAATGATTTTTTCCTCAGTGCTGAGGCGGTGAGCCCAAGGCTTAAGCACTTCATCTCCGAGCTACATTCCCTTAGTATTTTGTGTTATTGTTTCATTACAATTGGCCAGTATTTCCAAGTTCACATTCCGTGAGCTTTTCCCATCACTCTCTGCCCATGGCTTCCTGGCAGAGGCTGTTCTTGGGGTTATGTAAGGAAATCTTGAGACAAGATAGAAAAGGGGGGGGCTGGAGAGATGGCTCAGTGGTTAAGAGCACTGCTGCAGGGGGCGGTGGTTGCCCTCACCTTTAATCCCAGCACTTGGGAGGCAGAAGCAGGAAGACAAATCTGTGGCCAGCCTAAGTCTCTACAGAGTGAGTTCCAAGATGGACTGGGATACAGAGTGAGATCCCGACTCAAAACAACAACAGCAAAAACAAGACGCGGGAAGTGTGTTTGACCACTGTAATGACAGTAGTTCTCCCTAGAGGCATCTAACACCTGCGTCTTGGTGGGGGGGCGGTGTTCGGTCCTTTTAAGCATCCCTCTCACCCAGTGTCCATCCCTAAACATAAACATTTGCCGTCCATTAATAGCTCGCTAGCTTTATTTTTGCATCGGCTTGTCCCAAAATCTTTCCTACCATGCAGTTAGGGATCTGGCCTTGTCCAAGTGGAGGTCCCTAGTGGGAGTCTCCTCTGGCTGACCACAGTAGTATCCCTGCTGCCTCACAATCAGAGGGGGATCCCCTCCAGCTGCCTGAAGCAGTGCTAGGCTCTCTTCCCTCCTGCCTCGAAGTCAGAAGGGATCAGAAGAGTTTAGCGGACACCATGGTGGTTCGTGCCTGTAATCCCAGAATTTGGGAGGTAGAAGCAGAAAGATAAGAAAAGCAAGGTCATCCCCTCAGTAAATTTAAGGCCGGCCTGTGTTATCTGAGACGCAAAACAAAAATGAAGAACAGAGGAAGAAGGAAGGGGGAGGAGGGACACGTGGGATGCCATGTGCACTAAAGAGCATATTCCCCAGGAGATGATGGCCTTGTCCCAGAAATCACTAACTTTCCTGGATGAGGCTGAGCTGCCCTGGCCCTGCAGGACCTCGGGGCTACTTTCTAAGCTGTTTCCGCCTCCAACAGGCACCTCTCCCCAGCCTCTGCTCACTCAGTATCAGTTAAGGGCTTCTGGCCAGGTCCCCTGTGGAGGGAGTCGGACATGCCAGCTCCTCCCTGGTTTCTGAGAGCTGTCCTCATTCAGTGTGCCAGGAAATGGGTAACAGTGCCCTGTTTTGTATTATCGGGGTTTTTTGTTTTGTTTTGTTTTGTTCCTGTGCTAAGACAGAGTACAGATAATTTTACAAAAGAAAAAAAAAACCAGAAACACAATGGAAACTTTTATTTGGGATTTGGATGAACATTTAAACCAGAACCCTTTGCATTTGTATGCAGTCCGTTTGGAAGCACAGACGTCATGAAAGATGAAGACTGGTTAGGTCTTGGCAGTTAGCAAAGATGGGCCAGGTGCTGGTGGCACGCACTGCCTGCTGACGTCCTCCCACAGAGGACGGCAGGCGAATTGCTCACCCTCGGTCCTGGACTTCGTCATCTGGAGGCGGCTCTTCCCGGTGGTGGGAGCCTGGACTCTGCCTTCTGAATTCAGCTCCCTGTAACCCACCTGCTTCGCCACTAGAGGCGGCAAATGCAAGGCCCTGGGCTGCGCTCTGCAAACAGTCCAGGCAGAGAGAGGGAAGACGGCAGGGTGCGGTGGCCAGAAATGTAGCGTCACGCTTCCGGGGGACGAGCGCACTTCCTCAGACTCATGCGATTACAGTCATGATGATCGCAGTTGGGAACAAGCGAAAGCGATGCTGCAATACTCGCCGGGAAGACAGAATAGCAAGCGTCCCGTGGGCGTTGGACCGCTTTAGATCCACGGTCTGGACTCTGTACTCGTCAAGCTAGGGCGTGTCTTCTTCCACTTAAGAGTGACCTGAGATCCTCTTTGTGACTTTGTACTGTGGAAGACCTGTAAGAAGTCAGATCGTGAGACACCAACCCCCACTGCAGGACTGCCTGGAAGACGACATTTGAGGAAGAGGGTAGGGGGAGCGTGGAGAGGCGCTGGCTAGGAGGAGGAGGAAAATCGGAAATTCAAGCATGCGGTAGAGAAAAGCCTTACACGTGCCACTGTTTACATATCGAGAAAGAAACTAGAATATAAGATTTTCATGGTAACATTTCATTTGTTCTGTGTTGCTGGGCATGGAACTCAGGCCAACAGCATCCTGGGGATAGCGAAGTTTCCTTCCACTGAGCTATCCCCATCACCGGCTCAAGTGTAGCATTTTAATTGGCCTACCTGAAATAAGGTTCCATTAAACACATGCAAAACTGCGTTTCCAACCGGGCTTTGGTGGCACACGACTTTTATCCCAGCACTCGGGAAGCAGAGGCAGGCAGATCTCTGTGAGTTCAAGACCAGCCTGGTCTACCGAGCAAGTTCCAGGACAGGCTCCAAAACAATACAGAGAGACTCTGTCTCGAAAAAAACTAAAAACCCAAACAAAAACAAACAAACAAACTGCATTTCCAGTCAAGCTTGTTAGATACCCTCTCTGCAACTTGACCTAAATTATCTGGGTGAAAAGTGGACCAAGAGTTACCAGAGCCAAATTCTATCTTTTGGTTTTGTGGTTTGGTTTTTTTATTTGTTTGTAGCCCAGGCTGGTTTTTATTTTCACTGTACTTTGAAATTGAGATCCTCCTGCCTGCACCTCACAAGTACCAGGGTTACAGGTGCCTGTTACTACTCCCATCTTTCTTTGATGTCATCCCCAGTAACCTAGGCTGGCCTTTAACTTGATACGAATCTGACTGGCTTTGAACTCCTGATCCTCAGGCCTTAGCCTCCCATGGGCTTGGGATATAGGCATGTGCCACCACACTCAGGTCCCATGTTAACCTAGTGCAGAGAACTGGCCACCAAGGATGGAAGGTGCCAGGAGCTATAAGAGGATGCAGAGCCGAGGGTCACACAGGCGTGGTTTAGCAAGAATTCACAGGCAGAAGGGTGTCTTGACAAGACAAGATGCTCCCTGTACCCCCAAAGCAGAAGCAAGGGTCTTCTATGCTTATTTAGACATCAGTGGGCTGCAGCCCCCTAAAGGCACCTGGACTTTCTCATTATTAACATGTCCCCATCAGCTAAGACGCAGCCCAGCATCGGTGGCTGGCACACCACACTTGACCGTGTAAAAGATTTCATTTATCTGATGGGCTCTGGGATGTATGCCAGGGTTGCTTGGAGCACAAGACTGCAATTGTGCCCAAGATGGTTATAATCATCCCAAGTGGATCCCTACAGCAATTCTATTTGCGGTACAGAATTCTAGGAGATTTCATCATACTAACTAGACTTCTACTATTTTAATCAAGGGCTTGAAATATAGTACTGTGCGTTTGAAAAGCCTTTCCCCATGTCATAATCCATTTCAAGGACATGCTTCTCTGAGAAGTTGCTTGTGGTAGTTGTAAAACACTATCCTCAGGCCCCATAACCCTTAATTCCCTCTCTCCCTCCCTCCCTCCTTCCCTCCCTCCCTCCCTCCCTCCCTCCCTCCCTCCTTCCCTCCCTCCCTCCCTCTCTCTCTCTGTCTCTCTCTCTGTCTCTGTGTGTGTGTGTGTGTGTGTAGGCTGCGTCTCCCTCTCTGTCTTTCTGTCTCTCTCTGTGTTTGTATTTGTATGTCTGTGTAAAGGCTCTATCTCCCCCCATCTCTGTCTGTCTTTGTCTGTCTGTCTCTCTCTGTCTCAGTGTGTGCCCCGTGTGTGTGTGTGTGTGTGTGTGTGTGTGTGTGTGTGTGTGTGTGTGTGTGTGTGTGTAGCTTAGAAGTAACTTCCTGGATCACATTTGGTAAATGGGGTGCTGGTGGTCATTTTGGGGGCCCCTTCTTTGGCACGGAAAAGGAATTAAACTTCCAAAGAAGACAGAAGACCAAGTTGCCAAGAAAAGGAAAAGTTAACAGCTTTAAACCTTTGGATTGGGAAGGGCTCTAAGGCTCTAAGTCTGGGAATCCTAAATCACTCCGACTTGGGGATCCTATAAACACTCCTCTTTACCTCATTAGCCCTGTTTAGAAACCTACCTCCCAGTCAGGTGGTGGTGGCAGCGGCCCACCCCTTTAATCCCAGCACTCAAGAGGCAGAGGCAGGAGGATCTTTGTGAGTGCAAAGCCAGCCTGGTCTATAGAGTAAGTTCCAGGATAACCAGGACAGTTTCACAGAGAAACCCTGTCTCCAAAAACAAAACAACAACAACAAAAACAAACACCTCATCCTAACATGGGGTTTCCCCTTGTACCTTTATAAACCGCCATTTTCCTATGCGCCAAGTCTGTCTCCTCTCTATCCAGAGACAGTCCTTTGTCCCTCTGGGACAAATATCTCTTCTTACTCTCTCTTGTCCTCTATCTCCTATCTTTGTCTCTTATTCCCTGCCCTCCAGGACACATGGATCTCCTTTGTGCTGAGAACTTGGTCTTGGGGTGTCCTGAACCATACTTTTCCTTTTCAGCACCCCTGCCCGCTGTACCATCTTGATGACCCACCCACCACCTTTCTTATTTTAAGAGTCCCTTGCAGAACCTGGAAGATCATCAGTTCAGCTTCACCTAATGGCCAGCAAATCCAGAGATTCTCTTACATCTGCCTTCCCAGTGCTGGGATTATAGGTGAGCAACAACCATAAACTAGGCTTTACGTGGGTGCTGGGATCTAAACTGAGGTCCTCATGATTTCAGGGCGAGTTGCTTTATTACTGAGAAATGTCTTCCAGCTCGTCATTACCGTTTTTTAACCAGGGAGGACGTGGTTTGTGCAAGAGATCCTCACAAGATGTAGCCTGCTGATGTTCCCTTGAACACCCTACACGACTACTCCTTACCCTCATCCTCTGACCTTCAGGCAGCTTTTCCTGCTGTGTTTTATTTAGCTGCCTGTGTTTTTTATCATCTCAAGAGATGCTGAATATAAATATCCATTCTTGCTGAAACCGTTAGAACCAGGTGCGGTGTGGTAACTGAAAGCATTTCGACAGATCAGATGGGATGGACAGGGATGGATTATGGCACTCGGGAGCCAAAGAATACTGAATGTTACACAGCTCAGATGGAAAGGAATCCTGGAGCTCGGTAGCCAAGGAATACCACAAGCCACAGTAAGCTTAGCAGCTTACAGCCCTGCTTCAGAGAAAGGCTTCCCCAGTGTATCAGCTCTGCTCTGGCAGGAGAGGGTTTTCCGACTGGGGATGTTTTCCCAGTGTAGCAGTTTTGCTCTGGCAGAAGAGGGTTTCCCCGGATGAAGTTGCTACAGTTCAGCTCTGCTACCAGGAGAGTGCAGATCTGACTGTAACAACTCTGCTCTGCTAGGGGAAGGTTTCTCCTGCAAAAGTGTTACAGCCCCAGTCTCTCTGAGGCTCTGCTCTGCCTCAAAAGATCTTCACCAAAACCTCATTCAAGAGATTTATTGGCAGGGAAGAATCCAAGAGAATGGCTGCTCTCTGCCAGAGTGAGAGAGGACAGCCGGGTAGCATGAACAGCCACAAGCTGAACAGACACAGGGTTTATATAGGGCTTCTTAGAGGGTGGAGCTTTCCAGGGTGGGGATTAGTCAACTTTCAATCCCTGAATTCAGGATGGCTAGAACTCCTGCTCAGGGATTGGCTAGTTTTCTGCACAGGGTTAATTAAGGTCAGATTTGGCTCTGGTTTCAGAGACAAAGTGTGTTTCTTTCTCTGGTCCTTTTTAGCCCTTTGGCTCTGGTTTCAGGGCCAGGGTGTATTTCTTTTACTGGCTCTGATTGCAGAGACAAGTGTGTTTCTTTGGCACTGGTTTCAGGGTCAGGGTACATTTCTTTGGTTCTGGCTGTAGGGCCAAAGTGTGTTTCTTTGGCTCTATTCATGGTGTGTTTCTTTGAGCCAAAGTGTGTTTCTTTGGCTCTATTCATGGTGTGTTTCTTTGACTGGCCCCCTTTCCCTACAGTAACCGTGTATTCCCAGCATCCTGAGGCTGACACAGGAAGAACATTTGAAATCCAGGATTTGAGGCTAGCCTAGGCAGCATAAGAGACCCTTACCTCAAAAAAAAATACAATTATTAGCAAGCTAGAAACAAACAACAGAAAAGATCCATTAATGTGGTACCGTTCTGAAACCTAAAATAATTTTTAAACATTTTCTGTATCAATATTTATTTGAGACTAGTGCAGAATTCCCACATAGTCTGTGTTTCCCACTGTTAACATCCTCAGTGACATGGTGCTTTGGGGGCTTGTTCTGTTTTATTGGTGTACATAAATCATGCGAACTTGTGGGTTTCATGATGCCATTTTCACACAGTATGGTACATCCGTTATCACTATGAGCCCAGTACTGGTACACAAAAGTCATTTTTCGGGGACCGGTGCTGCAGTTCAGCTGCTAGAGTGCTTTCCTGGCATGTTCAAAACCCTGGTTTCTGCTCCCAGGATGGAGCACCCTTGCAATTCTAGTACTTAAGAGGTGGAGGATCAAAAATTTAAGGTCATCCTTGGCTACATAGCAAGTTGGAGGCCAGTCTGGGCAACATGAGATTGTCTTTAAAAAAAAGTCTTACCTCAATCCTTTCTTATTTCCTCAAAGTTACTCAAGATGCCTGTTTTGTCCAGGATCCCACACATCATTTATAGTCTATCTCCTTAGGCTTCTCCTGGCTGAGAGTATCTCAGACCTTTCTTCTTCTTCTTCTTCTTCTTCTTCTCCTTCTCCTTCTCCTTCTCCTTATCACTGGAGGTAGGCTTTGAGGGTTCAAAGCCTCCCACCATCCCAGTTAGCACTCTCTCTCTCAGAGATCACCAGCCTCCGCCTCCTGAGTTCTAAGATTAAAGGTGTGGGCCGCCACTTCACAGCTTGGTGATGGGCCCTTCTCCCGCTGGTATCATACGCCCAAATAAGCCCTTTCCTCTATGAGCTGCCTTAGTGGTGGTGTTCTACCC